AGGGGGAGTTGCACAGCTGTACAGCCAGGACCAGTATGCAGAAGTATGCAGTGGTTGCAGGAGACGGAGCAGAAGCCCATCTCACCTCCCTGACCCTCCTGCTTAAAGTAAGTGCGCCTTTACTAACGAAGGGTGTGTTCACACTGCTTGCTACAAGCAGACACAAGAAAATGCTGACTGTATTTCTGACCCAGCTGGAAACAGGGGTTACACCTTTCTGAGTAAATTAAAGAGTGCCCAGGAGTGCTCCCAGGCGCTGGAGCTGTATCATCTGCTCTGCTCAGGGTGGGAGGGTGCTCCTGGTGCACTTAGGTCCTATGCCAGCTCCACTGCAGAGTCCCCAACACCCCACGGCAGTGCTGCAGGGACCTCTCCCAGGGGGCAGCTGCAATGGGGTCACCCTGTTTTGGAGACTCAGAGAGTCATCCCTCCGGCTCATCTCACACGGCAGTATTTCTGACCGTGTTGAATTTACTAATGTAACTTTGGCCAAAGTCAGCTCTGAACCAGAACTCATGTAGCTGTACTTAGGCAGTGCTTGAGCCCAAGCTAATAAAACCTGCTGAGGGGCAGGATATATTAGCTCGGGTTCAGTGCTGTGCTAACATGGCTATATGGCTTCCAGATGGTTCAGAATTTAGGCAGAGCTATTGCCTGCCAAAGTCCATATATATATCAATATAAATATATATATCCTAAATTCCCCCACTGTAAGGACACTAATGAAGGTGAACTCACTCCTGATGCTTTGCCTGGTAAACACCAAATCCAAGAGACTTAAAAGTAACAACCCAGCAGCATCTTCCAGAGTACCTGATGGCTACCGTGTCATGTAAGTTAGGTGCCAAAGTTGACTGGGGGCAACCTTGGGATGAGATTGATAATGTTTAGTGTTGTCAAGGTGAGGCCAAGGCCAATGTAAAGCATGCAGCCAACTGCCTGAAGCAGCCAGGGTGCTGCCACAGGTTGCTATGGGTTGAAAGCAAGCCAGCCACCCTCTGTGACACAGAGAATGTGGCCATGCTGCCTCTCTGAAGGCTTCGTAGGAGAAAGGGACCTTGGAAGGCCCAGGCTGAAAGGAGGAGAGGCTAAAGAAGAGACAGTGTGTCTCTTAATGTCTCCCCCATCATCGCTGGTGAAGGACCTCACCGATCCTTCCTGTAGAATGTAGGATTAGGAGCCAAACCCCCTTCCAGGGGACACGTGTCAGAGTGTACCCAAATACATGCTGGAGAGAAAATTGGCCTTCCCCAGGCTTCACTTGGATCAAGGAACCTGTTTCTTTCATGTTTCCCTTTGCTCTGAGGAAAAAAATATACCTGAAGTAAGAGTCAGGGTCAGGGAGCTGAAGATTCCTGCCGCCTGCCCACCTCAAACAGCAAGAAAGCCGAAAGAAACCTTCCATAGGACTGTGGTAACAGAAATCATCATAACCAGCTTGGGCTTTTCAAAGTTGCCACCAGCTTATTCCCCTCTGATGTGCAGGAAGATGGAAAATAACTGGGAGCTGCAGTAATCTAAGAAAAAGTACAGAACTACATGGCTGTGGCCACTACCCAGGATGCTGTATTGACAGCTGTGTATTTGGAACTTGTTTTGTTCTGCTGATCATCAGTAGTCATCATTACACATTATCTCCCTCTCCCATTTTCAGTAGACAACACTAGATTCTCTTCAGGAATGATATAAATGGCAAAAGGAATACTCTTGCAGCTATTTATACTCCTCCAGTAAAAGCAATGTACCAACCATTGCTAACTTCCAATTATAAAAATGTTAAACGTTAATACAAAGGTGCTGATTCACTAGAATATGTTTTAAGTCTTAGGAGACATATGGTATACATACAGGAAAAGCGTCACATGGAGCTTTTTGAATTGTTTCTGCATCTGCATTGGTTTTATGCTGCAATTCATCTAACACCCGCACTTCCATCAGTGTGAAAATGAGCACCTCTCATTTTAAACACCATGGAGAGTTTTGGTGTCAAAAGGAGGGAATTAGCCAAAAGGGGATGCTGCAGAACATTGAGGAGACATTAAAAAAGAGAATAAAAAAAACCTGATCCTTAATTTACCACAGCCCCAGGGAAACAGTGCATTATATGTTGACAGCTTCCATATGTGTCATGCAAACCTTTATTCTTACTGTTCAAAATAAAACGTCCCATTAAGAGAAAAAGTCTACATTTCATGCTAAAATGAGGCGTATGATACCAAATACTGTCTTAAAGAAAAAAGAAAACACATTCCAATGTCATGTGGCTTTTTGTACTTTTTCAGCATTTTCAAAGGGGGAAAAATATGAATTAGAACAACCAGACATTCTTCCAAAGTTGTTTTTATCACACTGTTATATTAAATAGTTACAAATTTTTTTATTCCTCATGTAGACATTATTATTATTTATGCACCATCTTCAGGGATCACCAAAGAATTATGTCCACGTAAGTAATTGCCTAAAAAGTCACTGAAAGATAACTGTAAGAAAGATTACTGTTAATGGTAACAATATAGTAGCACCCTGGACACTCAGTAATTATTGGCACCCCATTTTAAAGGTGCTGCATGAATAAATCTAAAAATTAGCATGTATTTACAGATGTGATTATCCAGGGCCCCAGCGCAGCACCTGAATACCTCAAACGGGGATCCTCTGACTTAACAGAATCCCATTTAGTTTAATGGTCTCTTGCAACAGAAAGGTTAATGGATCAGGTCTTATCATAAATGTCTCTCCAGTGACAGGGGCAGAACTCCTCTACCTCCTGTAAACTCAGTGGACAGCTGGAGGCATGAAGAAATGTGCTTCAGACCTGCACGGCCTAAAGTTCACTTGAGCCAAGGGAAGGTTTTCCGGTTGATTTGAACCAGTCTCTGAGCTTTCATAGAAAACTGGTTGGAGGGAGGGTGGGTGGGGTTCCCTGGGTTACAAATTGAGTCCACTACATACTGAGTCATGTATAAAAATTCGTGTTCCATCTGTACACAAACATGTCATTCAACTGCTGGTGTTTCTAATAGCTTCCAGAAGTAACAGCAACCCAATAAAAATAATCAAAGCCTTAAGAGCAAAATTGTAAGGGCATGAAAGGATGATTTGCCTTATGCTAAGCTGAAGTGGTATAGCACAGGTTTCCCCTATAGTTTTGAAAACTTTAGTCCCTAGAAGGGCACTCTTCTTGCGTGAATAAACTGAAAAGGGAACAGAAAGTGAGAGAAGAGGGGAATTCCCTCCTCACTCGAGCAGCTGTGTTAAGAAATCCAAATAAGTGAGGTGCAGAAGGCAGAGCTGCCTGTGGCTTTGGAATTTAAAATAGAAAATTGTCTATCACCTTTCTGATCTTGGGAGTAGGGCAGGGGAAATATTTACATAAACTGTTCTTTTACAATTTCTTCAGTGTATTAACCTAAAGGTTTCCTTTTATCCATACAAACTTGCCTGCTGTTTACTGAACGGATATAATTTTGAGGCTAGAACCAACAAATTGCTGGTTCCAGGGTTTCTTAATGAATGCCTTTCATGGATATTTAATTTTCAATAATTTCTGTATTTGAATCTCCTGGAAAAAGAAGTAAAGGATGGAGTTTATTCTGGAGCAGGAAAGCTGGCCAGAAGCCAGTCCACCTAATTTGTATGCCTGACGGAGGTGTCACCTCTCCAGAATTTTAAGGGCTTAAAAATGGCCTCGCAAAACCAGGCTGCCCAGCAGAGCCGCTCCTCGTACAGCCCGAGCTCAGGTGCGGTGCCTGTGGAGGCTGGTTGAATGCAGCAATGACAAGGTCTACCTTGCATTGCCGCCTTCCTTTTTCCACTGACAGTTCTCCGACCATACAGGCAATATTAGGTGTAATGGCCGTCCGCTCCGCTTCAAGCCTGCCAACTCCTTTTTTAAGCATCAAGCCTAAAGGAGGACAGTTTTTGTATAACTCTCCAGCAGCCAGAGCACTTGCTGAAAAAGTATGAGAGGCTTTGTTCACAGCCCAGTTGAGCCTGAGGGAGAATTCAGATCAAAAACAATGAGAAAATGTAGCCAGAACAAAGAAAGAAGAAAAAAATATTAATCCTTACACCAGGGTTACTTCTGCTACTCATTAACATTATGTCAGCTAAGGTTTAGATTAACTAGCATCATAGATCCCTTGACCACTGACATAAAAAGCTTTTTGACAAGAAAGAGCTAAATCTGAAAGTTTGCTTGTAAAGTAGTATGGATTAAGTGAACCATCACAGAAAAAACAGTATATAAGTCTCTTTTTATTAGTTTCTAAAGAAGTCTAAGTAAAGAACATTTCTTCTAAAAATATTATTTTGCATTGAGATGCATTTTCACTTTTTAATGAAGAGCATAACTGTGAATCATGTGGTAGCCCAGTAAATTTGTACTAAAATCCCACAGCTCTGCCTTTGGTTTTGATAGTGTTCTTTCTAATTTTCAGCTAATTAAAATTTTAAAGATTTCAAATTTTTAACTCGTTTCAAGATAAAAAAGTTTTGAAATTAATTTTTCTTTTCCCTGAGCTAGAAGAACAATTCCTACATTACCCTGTTGTCAACCTTCTCCAACATCAGTACCAGAGGCTATGAGGTACCTCCTGAACTGTCCTGAGGGACTTTTTATACTTTTCTCAATGCTTCAGCCCAGAAAGGCCTTTAGAAACTTTCTAAAACAATTCCACAAATCTGCTTGAGTTTCCATAATGTCATCATCAGTGGAAGAACATTAAACTAGAACTTCATTTTCTATGTAGGACGTTTTGTCTCAAATTTCATTTATTTTAACTTGATTCAGTTAGCTTTATAATTGCCATATTCTACAGAACTAAGAATAATAGAAAGCTTGCAGACTGTAGCTATGGCAGGATACAACTTGTGTTCTTTGCTTATAAACTCGCAGTGAATTGTCACCCAGTCAAGTTAAAAACACCCAACCAGAAACGTTTGCCAGCAAGAGATGACAAGAGCGTATATGGCGTTATGATCTACAGTTATGATCTTACCGTCCCCGGTTTCAGCGCAGAGTTGCAAGCCCAGATTGTTCTGTGGATTAATCACCCAGTGATTGCTGGTCACAGTAATGTCAAACACAAACCAGCCCACATCAGAAGCTTGAGCCTTTCTTGTGTCTAACAGGAACAAGTCTGCATCCCTAAGTTAAAGAAAATAGAGTTAAGGCATTCAAATACTATTTTTTTTTTGTCTCTAGTTTCCTTGCTGACAATAATTTCCTGGAGTCCAAATGAATAATCCTTTGACATGTCCTCATCACAACACAGTACAGCATGTGCTGTAGCTAACATGTAATTGTTAAGTATAATACAGGTATTTCCCCTGAGAGGCCTTTCTGAAATGAGTCTCAGCATGTGAAAACTACAGCTCTGGAAAATCTGAAAAATCCAGCTTCCTGATATAAATACACGAAATATATAGTTGAGGCTGCGTATAAAGGATTCATCTTTCAGCACTAGAATGTCTCAGGAAGATTAACTTTTATAAACCATTCAGCATAAAAGACAAAAAATGTCAAAATCACGTTCCAATTTCAACTAAAATTCAAAGGCACAACGTCACTGAAAAAATCTGTTATTAATAACATATGACAGCAGCTATATCATATGGCAAAACATGAATAGATGACAGTTCAGACAGTTTCATATTAGTACAGATGTTTAGAAAATAAGTCTTTATATCAAAGTAGAAATTATATATCTATTCAATAATGTAATTATTACATTTTAACCCTCAGTTCCCTGGTTTATTCTCAAATTTGTTCCCATGAAATCTTCCAGTAATTCAGAAGGGCTGCTCAGGGGAGTTAGTATAATCGTGTTACTAAATGTTTAGCATGGATCGTTTATTTGTTCTGTTTTCACATATCTCCTGACACAATTGGTTCCAGAACCACATCTGTATTACAAATAATTTAGTACAATGACCACACTAAACCCAAGATATTTAACTCTCATCAGTGTCATTTTACATGCTTCTACAAAGCAGCATGCATTATTAAAAACTGTTTTCACCATTTAGCGTTTTAAACCTAAATCGATAGTTACAGAAACCTATTTCTTTTCTGCCATAAATAGTAATCAAAACAATAATATACAAGAAAAAATATTTTATTCTAAACTTTGACTGTCGAAGTCAACTAAAGACAGCTTTGGTTTACAAAGACCTTGGAATCATGTTGTTACCTTACAGACTGCATGAATATACACTTAAAGAGGTAAGACAGACAGAAATAGGCTTTGTGTAGAAAAAGTGGATTTAAAATTGCAGTGGTTCTGTCACCATATTCTTATGTTGCTTAATCGCAACAACATCATAGGAAGTTACTGCCTTATCTAGACTAAACACTGTAAATGCACCTAGAAGGTGTGATACTGGAAAAAAACATCTTGTGTAGCTCTTGAAACTGTGGTTATTCAGCACTCGGGAAAATAAGACCAAATGAACTATGACAAGCAGATGTTTATTTACATGAGAGAAATATCTGCAGAATTAGGTTAAAGAGCTCAAAAAAAAAAAAAAGAAAATTGAAAGGGCTTTCTTTCAAGTCACCTTTTTTTTTCTTCTGTTAAAGGGTAATCTTTTGCTGGGGTCTTATCACTCCCATTCTAGTAGAACTATGCTAATGACCACACAAGGAGAAAACATACGTTCTCCCTCTGGAGCTAACATGAAAACAGTCTTACAATTCAAAAGAGCCTGACCTGTTATGCTAGCACTGAACAAATTAACAACGTACCACAAGCTCATAAATAGTACTCTCTGGAGTCTTAAATGCCAACTTTTTTCTCTAATAAGCCATTTTATCGGAATTTAAAGCTGAAAGGTTTAATTCGGAATGTGACAGTCTTTAAGATGTCTTTTGATAAATATTTCTTGTGTCATTCAGTAGTTTTAATAGAAAACTACAAAATTGTTTGGAATATAAAATATTACAATATCACAGCACTATAATTTCACATTTGTCTTGTCTCCTCCTAGAATACATAATTGTTTTCCCATACAGATTCTTTCAGCTCCAAACTTTGCTGGGACTGATATGAAACGTTCTCAAAAGTCAGGATGTACAATGTCTCGTATGCCAAATCAGAATAGGGCACTACTCATGGTATAGTCCAGAAACCCCTATAATGGACAAATTTCCTCTGTGGATCTCTCCTCAGTGTGACTTCATTATTTTGTACTGCAGCAGAAACTCCACATCAAAGTGTCTTTGGCATTGATATGTCAATCTTCTTGTCTGCCTTCCTACAAGCATAGTGTTCTGGCTAAGGTAGTAGACTTTAAGAGGCGGATTGTTCTTACTCATTACCTCAGCAAATGAAACAAAAATTAGTTGTGGTTATCTAGAGAAAACTAGAACTGATTCTCAACAACACATAGTAGAACAGAGAAAATGTCTCCAGGCCAATGCTAATGATTTAGGCCATATAACAGCAATTTACTACAGAAATTCAAAGTATTCATCAGGAAAAAAAACAACTTTTTTCACAATTGATATAAACAAAGGGTGAAAACCCGCGCCCTGAGAAGGCAGTGAGAGCTGTGGGATCAGGATTCCCCCATTGGCTGGTGTCATTCACTTAAATTTCTCATCACATTTGGTGACATTTTTAATTTTAAAATTTTCCTTTGTGAAAAGAAAAAAACAATCACACTTAAAATGAAAAACAGCTGCAAATTTTGGCTCTAATTTTAAAAAATATTTCTATTTAAAAAATAGCCCACAACACATAATAAAAAAGTAAGGCATTATGTCGTAAATAGCCTGAAATGCAACAGTGAACACATTCAGGCAGAATACAGCTGATTGGCTTTACCTTTATGGAGGCTGTTTAAGTTTAGTGATCTCAGTCTGGTCCCAAATGGCCAGTTGTCTACAGCACAAATGCTACCACAGTCAAGAATTTCAGCAAAGAAGCAGCGGGCAGAACGTCTAAGAAGCTCCAGATCTCCTGGGTCACTCAAGGAAGTAAAGGTGGAATAAACCATCTATATGTTTCTTGAAACCCAGCAAAGTTTTCAACCAGATCAAATCACAATTACTACATAATAGGCCATCCCCATAATGCTGTTTCACCTCTCGCCTCATTCCAGGAAGCTGCTGTAGTATCTTAATGCCACTTGAGGATTCCCTAATGTGGGAAGAATCCTTGGGGTTTAGTTAAATTAGTGGCTAGCTGCCACCAGATCATGAACAAGGATTTGGCCTGTTGGACTACATTACTTTCGTCATGAGAATCAGATCCGGGTAGGAGTACATTGGCAGGGCTGTGTAGGAAAGTTTGCCTTGCCATGAGCTGCGCTTTACACGCTTACTTAGAACGAATAGAAAACTTCAATCCCAAAGACTGTCATTTCAGCAAACTCCGAGCAAATTCAATACATGCACGCGTCAGTGGCCACGCTGCCACAGAGACAGAAAAATGTTCAAGACTACAACGTAATCCTTAGTCTGCAACTCAGAAACCCTAAACCCTGACCACTCCTTGCCTGAAAGCATGGCAGGACTGCTTTTGGGACTGCAGAGCCTCATCAGACACTCATGTTTCCTGTTCAGAGCAAAGAAGGGAGGAGGAGCAGTGTCCAAGACAGATGTTTTGCTGTGGTATGGCACTAGTAAAGAGTGTGGGACATTATAGAATCATAGAATGGTTTAGGTTGGAAGGGACCTTAAAGGTCACCTAGTTTCAAACCCCCTGCCATGGGCTGGGACATCTCCCACTAGACCAGGTTGCTCAAAGCCCCATCCAACCTGGCCTTAAACACCTTCAGGGATGGGGCATCCACAACTTCTCAGGGCAACCTGTGCCAGTGCCTCACCACTCTCACATTCTCTCACCCTCACATTCTGCAGTTGCAGCTTCTGAAAATTTTGCACCTAAAATTTCATGTACATATGTAGGACAAACCTGGTATGACAAAGTCAAGAATAACACTAATGAAGTCTAGCCCCCAGAGCAAAATCTGAGACTTCATTGGAAAAAAAAAAAAAAAAAAAAAAGGATAAAATATTCTTGGGAGTTCTTCTGTCTGGAGGTATCAAGATACAGCTGGGAAAAGTTCCTTGTTTTTAATTTGAACAGTGGTGAGCTTGTGGTCTTCTCCCATCCTGTCCCACAGAGGCATTTGCCTCTATGTACTCCATATCTGCATAGAGACTGGCAAAATTAGCAATAGAAGGGGAAACAGTCTACATCTGAAGTTTCTGTAGTTATACGGGTGAAATCAAATAGGTGGTATATCATTGCATGTCCCACTTTCCAGCATCATGCTTCCATTAGAAGACATGGGCTTTTATGTTTATAAATGGAAATATAAAACGTTTATATATTTATGTATTGAAGGAAATCAAGTGCATTCTTTAATGGTTTCACACAGACAGTTGTCATTTTAACAAGTCAGATAATGCTGAAGTGTGATCTTGCTTCATAGTAGTAAGCAGTTTTTCTTTCTCTGAAATAGAATAGAAACCACTTACTGGGAAAACACTAAAAAAAAAATCCCCAAAACCCAAAAAAGAAAATGTCAAACAGATTAGAAAAACTAGCTTTTCTCATTAGTTCTTAAAAAGAATCCATTGAGTTTCCAGATGAAGAGTGTTCATCACCTTAGCCTTGACCTGTGCTCTTAAAAAGATATGGTTTTTTTCCTTCCCATTTCTTTCCTTCCTCTGGGAAGTTTCTTTTAGAACCTATGTCAAAATAATTTTTGCAAGCTGAAGACAGAGGTTAAAAAAAAATCCCGCACTATTTTATTCCTGCCCAAATTTACTAAGAAGGCAGAAGGTATTCTGGAAGGATGAGTGCTTTCCCTCCTGTTGGTTTTGCTCCATTGATATGAAATGACTCTCTAATATAAATAAAAATTTTATAACTTGACGTTCAGAGATCTCACCTGGAAGGTAGGTACAAGCTCAGGCTTCTGTGAGCAGAAAAGAGATTTGAACTCTGGCCCAGCCTTTGAGCTAACTAATTTTATTTTCTCCAGAATACTCTGCAAGTTTAGGCTGCCATTTTCTTTGCTTTTGCTAAAAATGCCCAGGATAGATATATTTCATCTGTTCCAAGATGAGGGAGAGTTTTTGTTTGTCTCAAAACAATCCTTTTTTCTTCCACTTTTCTGAGAATTGACAATTTAAGTTCAAAATGCAAATTTGGGGTGAGTGTAGGTTTTTCCAGAAGCATCTTGGAATTGCTACTGGTTTTTAATGGGATTTTTCAGGTATTTATCTACTTTGCCCAGTGAAATCTGGTCATTTATTTACTCAGGTCTTGCAGAGTCTTGGAAATAGGTCACACACGGAGCTCTGCAAACTCAGATTCAGAGATTTGCTCATGTGTAACATCATATTTGTTTTCATTTTCAGTTATGGTGAGCCACATGTGTTAACTATGCATATGTCATCTTAAAGCCAGTGCATGACTTTATCTTTTAATTACATTCGCCAGAATATTAAAAACATGCAAAAAACCCCCATGCTCCTTCAAACATAAACAAAGTTGAACAGTCTATCTGCCTTTAAGGAGCTAAATGAATCTTGGCTGGTAGTACCTCAGCATCAGCAAATGGTGCATTTCCCAAATCCAGACACTTGGACTGTGCATACGACTTCACCATTTGCTCGCTGAGAACGTGACCCCTCACCCCCTCTGTGCATGGGCAGATTGTTTGGTGAGATTGGACGGGTAACTCCTGATAAACCTGCAATAAATTACATTGAAGATAAGTTTTATTCTTGCTGAGGGGTTGTCATTGCCTAGGAATTAATACTGCACAAGCCACAGTGACAGCAATAGTGCCCTGCGAGGGTATGCTTGTGGTCAGCTATTGTCTCCCTACTTCACACAGAAACACGAGACGTTACTCAACTCGTGATACGCTCATGCCAACGGGGTACCTGTTTGGGTACTCCTTGATGATCTGATATATGCTAATCTGAATTGTTTCATTCTCAAAGCGACTGCTGCTTCGGTCTTTGTATATCCGGAATTCGGCTGCTGTCACTGCTTCTCCGTGCGGGATTTGAGTAAGGTCAAAGCGAAACTCTTTGTAGTGCCTTCGCTGGTGGGAGAAGTCCTTGTCCCTTTCAACTGTGAGAAAAAGAGATGAATGTAAATTAAAGAGGTGAAACGAATGCCCATTTCCCATGATTAATGAAGCGTTCCCTGTGCTTGGGAGTAAACAAACAGGACAATATAAAACTGTGCAAATAATAAAACCACAAGCCCAGGCATACTTCCAGTTAGAGGAAATTCCACCAGCCCAGTGTCTTCAGTTCAAAAGAAAAAAAAACTTGGTGGCTTTTATATAAATTCCAGAAGCTGGAGTGGAAAGAATATCGAAAAAAGCTGAAAGAGGACATGTTGTAAAGTAACTAGAAATATGGACAAACTAAAAACTGTGAAAGGATTTAGGACTTCACTGTAGCCATAAACACAGCAGTAGTAATGTCAGACCCACAGCTGACTTTGGAAAACACTAATTGCCACTAATAACCAGGCAGATGAGAGGAATGCTGCTCATTTCCACTTAACGTAATAAATTCGGAAGTGGTACTAAAGTGTGCTGCGACAACTATATATTTAAGAAGCAGTTACATCATATAAATCAGCACATATTGTACTCTAATGGCATAAACGTCATCTTGCCAGTGGTCAGAAGAAGGAGCCATGAACCAGGGCTGAGTGGTTCTGGCACCCCAGCAGCAAAGGGAGCACCACTCCTGGCATGAGAAGTCCCCTCAAACCTGCTGTAGGTGGGCAGGTGCAGCGGTCGCTGCTTCTGACACTGCCACAATTTCATATAAAAAAGTTAATGCCATCATTGTTTCATTCAGGATTGCACAAGATTTTAAGGGGAAGTAAACAGAGGATTTAGTTTATTTGAGTTTACAACTGACTTTGAGTTAATTCCACTGTGTGTTGCAGTTCTGACCCTGAGTTAGGAGCAACTTTTGCAAAGGAATACGTGTTTTGATGTGGCAAGGGAATCTACAGGCCACAGGACTGGCTGATGACCCTCTCATGGGATTAATACTTCAGATTTTAGGGACGTGGAAAGGAAAATGATCCATGGTTTCCACTGCCACAGAGTGCAACGTATCATTGACCTGTGAAGCAGCTGTGTTTTGCGAGAATAGAGTACTTCTCACTTCTGGAGAAGTTCCACCTGCCTGGTGAGATAGGTGCTTTGCTTCACTGCTGGTGGACAAAGCCTAAAACACTCAGAGCTGGGATTCGGTTTGGATAACCAGCTAAACATTGACAGCTGCACTCAGCTCTGCTAAATGGTCCCTCCTATAACCCCTGCTCTTTTACTGCATTTTAATTTTAACAGTCCTCAGACCTGAGGAAGGAACAATGTCAGTTCTGCAAAAGTGGATATTTAGATTACTAAATCTTACATGTATAAATAAAATGCATATGTTGTTACAAATCATGTGTATATTTATACTTATATGCTCATGTGTATGTGTATTCCTATGCAATTTCATCTATATACACAATGTGTATGTGTTTGTATGTCTGTATAAATATATAACTATTTATATATAAACCTGCATACGTGTATTATTATAATGTATACGTGGTCTTACAAATTAGAAATGCACTAAAAGAAAAAAAATGTTTTGGGCTTGCCATATAAGGGAACACTTACAGACATATTAAAGTGAGAGCTATTGAAGGAAAAATATTTACATTATTTTCAGAGCAGTAGTTACTAGTTAAGTCACCTGTGGCCGTGTAGCTAGTCCCTTACAGTACACTTCCCTTTCACCCTTTCGAAAATGTAAACTAGCCTTGTTTTCATTCGCTTTTTTTTTTTTTAATGTACAAATCTATGTTGCCTTAAGAACCACCAAAAATAAAATGTGTAGGCTATAAGAACACTTCATCTTCAGTGAAAATGAACTTTCTCCTGGCTGACAAAAGGAAAATTGTCTGTTAACTGTGAGGTTTCCTTGGCTCAAGTGCGTATTTAGCTTACATGGGTTTGCCATGGTACGCTACGTAGAAAAAGTAAAGCAGAAAAGAGGCAGAAGCATGTAAACGGGCTGCTCTGTACCCGAAGATGAATGGGCTGCTACTGAAGAGAAACAGGATACAGCCTATTTAGCAGCTCTGCTGCCCGGTTCTAAACTGTGAGATATATACAGAGATCTGACTTGAGGTTTGGGGTTTGTTTGCCTTTTTTTTATTATTTTTTTTTCCCCTAATGTCCATGATTAGCCTTTCATTTTGGAGCAAACTTGGCAGAGATTAGCATATGCAAATGCACAGGACCAGGGAGGATTTTTCTAGTGCAAAGAGTCTGCTGCAAGTTTCTAAGGTTATAACTCAGCATTTTGAAGCTAACGTTGAACAGTTACATCAATAACCTTAAATGAAAAATATATTAAAGGCAGATTTAAAGTAGCAAACCTTTTTGATATCTCTGGTTAGTACTTATTCAACAAGTATTTACCAGCATGTGTGGGTAACTAAGCACTACCGGCTATGAGTAAGCATTGGAGAATTAGACGCTGAACAAAGGGTTTAAATGACAGTACTCCTGGCCTGTTTCTTTTTTATTTTGGTTTGAGGTTTCCTTTTGTCTAGTTTCTTACAAGTACCTTCTAATTAGTAACATTAGTTTGGAAACAACAGTTCTATGCCTATATGTTTTATTTTGGTCAGAAACATCTACAATACCCTGCGATAGCATCAGTGGGGTTCTCTCAGGACCACTCACAACTGCTGAAGGAATACTGATAGCCACTTTCTGACAAGCCCAAAATGAATTATTGCAGCTCACACAGATAGTACTTATCTGTGTTTCCATGTATACCCAGGGAAGAGACAGCACTGCCATCTGAAAGGGACACAAGTTCAAAATTTCCTTGGGTCGAGACAGCAATTTACAGGCTGGCCAGGACTTGGGAGTAGCAACAGCCTGCGGAAACGAAGGGCTGTAGGACACCGTGGAAAACTCTGAGTCCAGGGAGGTGCCGCTCTCCACAGTGAGGCCAGAATCTCAAACCATGATTTTCTGTCGGCCAATGTATAAAACATAAGAACAATTTTTAGAAATTTAGACAAGTTAAGATCCTACATCACATAGTAGGCTGAAAAAAAGCAGTGGCTGTGATGTTGTAATACTGACTGATGACTAGAACAATAGTCGAGTTATAAACGCAAAATGCTATTTAATGATATTGAGCACTTCAATACCACAAAACATGCATAATTCTTGATCCTTTCTGCATCTAATAAATGCCTTGTTGGGCAAGACTGTGAATGCTCAGTAGGGTATCTCTCAGGTCCTTTATCCTGCTTGAATGGCATGAAGTGCGGGGCGGGCACCATGTCTCAAATACTGTCTTTCAAATACTATTTCACATACAAGAGGTTTTCAACACTGGCAGCCCGAAAAACACAGGTTAAGATTTTTAAGTGTTCAGTTCTTCCAGAGCATTCTCATGTCATTCCAGCTCTGCTCAGTTCATCTGCCAAAATGCATCTCTGTGGGACCGATCACAGCATTTGAAAACTGGTTGACCAGAAAATAAGGAAGTCCTTTTTTAACCATTGGAGGAATATAATTTTTCAAAGTAGAAATAACTGGAATATTATGGTCAAAGCTAATTACAACAACATCCTTCATTTGCATTCATTGATCAGGATTCTTAGCATCAACTTTTTAAAATGTTATTTTTATACCACCTGAGACTAATATATTCAGCACTATGGTTACATCAGACAAATGATGACTCAGGGGAATATCACAAACACCTGTGTGTAAGATGGGAAAGAATGATATTTTCCACCCATGTGGCAAACTGATGAAATATTCATACTGTATTAACACTAAGCCCAACTCTAAGAAGAAGGAAGACAAATTTATACCAAAAAGATATTTTGGAAAAGGATTCATCTTTTACACCAAGAGAAAATATCATGCACTAATTTTCATTGACAAATGTGTCTTCTGGAAAAAAAAAATAAAGCACATATATACATGGACAGTATAATAAGAAATCGGTATTTTACCAATTCAGCTATATATGTCTGATTAATTGAGCTTAAAAAAATTAAAAGTTTATAGCAATGAGCTTAGGTCATAGTGCATGAAGGACCTTTAGATGTACTCTTTCATTAGTGATTAGCTCGCCACTGATGTGTGCTTTGCTTTTCCTGAAGTGGTTG